ACTGGGGAAGTTCAAATAAAGTTATGAGGTCTAGAGATCTGTTAAGAAAACATGCTTCATTTATAAGCAATGCTAACACTAATATTTGTTGTCATCAACTTATTTCTAATTTATGCGTCACTGGCCACCTGCTCTAAGTCATTTGTAAGGAATTTGCATGTTCCTAGACAAGGCATGTTGCGAACAGGGATGATTCCATTTCCCCACTGCTAAAATTGGGTGTTAATTTTTCCTCCTAAGCCGATTATTTCTGACGACGACTTTAATCCAGCAGCTGTGGACAGTGCCCTTTCTCGCACATTCTGTGATATGAAAGGGACTGCGACTTGGTAAAACTCAGCCCTGGTGTTGTGTTACTATTATTGCTCCTGGGGAGGCTTATTAGCCTGTCACAGAAGACGTAAGAAAAATCCATCATTCCTTTTGGAATACGATGAGTCTTTGTCACCACAGTGCAATTAATGTTGAAAATAGAAGGAATGACTATGATATGATTATGATTAGCCAGAGATGAGCTATTGTCCAAGTAACAGGCACTAATCCAGCAGGCCAGAGATGACCTACACAGAACCATCAGTTTGCTGATTGCCATTTCTCTCTGAGTTTGATGAAATATTCATGCCTTCGCTCTCCTCTCTGCAAGCACTATTGATTTCTTGTATAAACGCTGCTATATTTAGTCTAGACAAATGGAATGTGGATTGCTGCTGAATAAATTGGATGAAAGACTGGGATCTTGCCTGCCGCTTTCTCTCAGTCTTGGGCAATTATTTATAATCAAGAGCAGTTTTTGTAAGTTGAGGGTGATTTTTCACAATTTAGTGATTAGTCTCTGAACAAAGGCAAGCAGTTAGACACAATCATTTCTGTTGGGAGAGCAGGTTAAGAAGTCAGATTACCCTTTGAGGTTTACAATAGCTGTTTTGGAGAGTTCAGGGGCATTTTTCCCTTATCTTTTTTTGGGGGGATTTTTTTAGGGGTTCAATGTTTACAGTTCATGAATAGTAAGAATACCAGCAAGAAGAGACCCCAGGGTCTCTTGAAATTTTTCATTTGTCTGTATAGGGTTAAGTTCTGATTTTTGTTTATTGGCATTTTCATGTAAAACCTGGAGGCTGCAGTTTGGCCTTTTTAATATAAAAATGAAATATATCATTAGCAGCCTTTGCTTTGGGTTGGAGTGATGCCAACTCTATAAATTAATGCTCAAAATCTCATGTTACTCCAGTGCCTTGATTGAAACTTGTACATTGGACACTGCAACTAGAGATCTTAGTGGCCATCATTCTCATTTAGTGTCAAATCTGGCTCAGGTAATAGCTTTCCCTTCACAAAGATCATGATTTAAAAGACCTTGTCCACCAAACTATGGTATATTAATAAATTATTTTACCGTTTTCATTGAAGTGCCATTGCCAACAACGAAAACTTATGATCAGTACCTTGAAAAATAACCAGTGTTGGCAACCCAAGACTGATTCCTGTCCCGCGCCCCCCCCCCACAGGTGCACACACATGCCTGTACGTACACACAGTTCAAATGATAAGTGAGGACATGAATGTTTCATTTAGTATTTGCAGCCTTAACTTCCATAGACAGGATTTCTGTTAGGCTTTCTCGACTCTCTGAAAATAGCTCTTAAATCCACATGGAATATTAACTTTGTGGTTCCCAACCTGGAATCTGGAAATCTAAGTTACTTACAGTAGTCATCAGAGCATTAGATGCAATTTGGAAAAATACAGAAAAGTAGAAGGGGAGAAAGTATTCATATTTCCACACCAAATACAGATCATCCTCTGCTCTGTGTCTCACCAGTCTCTGCTGTTAGAATTCAGAGACTAGTATAATTAAAACCCCAGTAGATCTGATATGCTCTATGAGGGCTGGAATTTTTGTCTTTTTTGTTTTACTAATAAACCCCAACCTTTAGAATCATGCCGGGGAATTTAATGTTCTCAATAAATGTATATTGACTAAGTTAAATTATATGTATTTAAGTTTAAAGAGGTATCTTTACTGTTTTTGTTTTTGTTTTTATTTAATGTAGTAACAGCATTTTTCATGTTCCCATAAATATTATTTTTAATGATTGCATGTTTTTACACGAAATGGACATGACATGTTTTTCTTAAACATTTCCTTGTAGTTGGTGATTTCAATTAAAATAATAACACTTCAGTAAACAATATGGTATTGAACTGTTTCTTCCTGTTAGTATTATCTCAAGACATATTCTTAGAGTTGGCAAATCTGAATAAAATGGCAGAAATATTTAATGCCTGTTGATACATATCAACAAATTGTTTTTCAGGCATTTGAAGCCCATTGGTAGTGTCTTTTGTAATATATAGTTGTCTACTTGGTCATATGCTTACCCTATACAATGGAGCAGAACATACACACACATATGCATATGCATGAATTATATATATGATATTTAATAATTAGAAAGTGATGCCTTGTTTTGACTTAAAATTTGCCTTTCTTTACTAGTGAAGGTGAAAAGGTAAAATGTTTGAGTGGCTTATCTATATTCCTGTGTTTTCTTTTTTCGTTTTCTAGAAGTTTTAGTGTTTTTATTTTCTGATATGTAACAGAAATTGTATACAATTTTATTTTCATTCTTGCTCCTAATATTTTTGTTTTGTTAGCCACTGTGTTGATGATTTCAATCTTTTAGGTTATTTGTAACTGAAAATTAGGTGACTTCTGTCTACTCTGGATATGTATTTCCTTCCTTCCTTCCTTCCTTCCTTCCTTCCTTCCTTCCTTCCTTCCTTCCTTCCTTCCTTCCTTCCTTCTTCCCTCCCNAAACCCAGACATCTCAACTCTTGCTTCCTCTGGTAAGTCTTCCTGGATGCTCTTGGTGCCCTGTGGGCTTTCCCTTCTTGTAGACCTTGTGCTCCCTTATTTGGCACTTGAGTCAAGTCTTCTATTTTTATTCTCTTATACAGTATTTCCCCCGTGTGGTTTGCCTCATTCTTAAGAGCAAAGACTATACCTTATGTTTGTTTCTCTAGTCTAATCATCAGACTAATTAATGTACTCATTGGCGCATAGTAGGTTCTTAAAACTCATTGCTGATTGATAGGTAGCCCTTTAGCTTCTATGTTTTCAGTTCAAGGTTCTCCGAAGAGCCACACAAAAATGGTCATTTCTAAAGGTGACCGACCGGAGCAATTTGGTGTGAGTCCTCACCACTGGGATGAGTACCGGTGTGCAATCACCCCAGACCATCTCTGGAATCTTCTCTCCCAGTGAAAAGGGCAGGCCCACTGCTAGTGCAGAACAGAGTTTCTGTAAATAAGGCCTGCTGCGGCCCGTCAGGCCTTTCAGCACTGACTGAGGAGCTTGCAGTGTTTACTGAACTCCCGAGGTCACTGAAGTCAGGAGTAATCTCTCAGGCCCCGTGAATCTCCAGTGTTTGAAATAATTACCAATGTGTAACAAATCTCTGGGCTCTGGAGGTTTAAGCCACACAGATGTGTTGCTTCAGAAGAATGATGACAGATGTGACTGCGCCCTTCAGTCATTCAGCCCGCACTCCGGGGATACCTGCCGTGGCCAAGGCACCAAACTGGGCTCTTGCCCTGTGACCCACCTTCTACGTCCTCACTGCTCTATGTCAGTGAAAAATGGACTGTCTCACTCACACAAACACCTGGAAGGTCTACGAATGCAAATTAAGGGAGTATTTTAGTGATTAAATGTATCAGAGGAAGTTACCCATTGGCGCGCGTAAGGATAAAGACTTGAGAGTCTTTCTATCTTTCCTCCTTTCCTTTCCCTCCTCCTTCCCTTTCCCTCCTCCTTCCCTTTCCCTCCTCCTTTCCTTTCCCTCCCTCCTTCCTTCCTCCCTCCCTCCCTCCCTCCTTTCCTTCCTTCCTTCCTTCCTTTTCCCACCAGTAATTACTTGGATCTCCGTAGTGGCTGGCCACTTTCGCAAAGCCATGCAGTCCAGTTGGCCACCGTTCTTCCTCCAAAATCCCCATTATCTTTACATAAACCTGTTTCATTCAACTACATACTTCTCTTGATTCCTGTGGGCAAAAGTATTATTCAGAATATTTAACAACCAGTTTGGCATAGACACTGACTAATCTGAATGGACGCCAGCCAGGAGCAACTGGTGAACCTGCGCATCTACCCTGTCTGAGAGCTTTTGTGCGTATCCCACTCCTGGAAGTTACCTCCCAGAAGTTGTGCTAAAAACTTTATACACATTATCTAATTTAATTTTTATAAATTCAAGTATCTATAATTAGTCTCAGATCATTCAATCTTTCTTCATCCAGTGGCTTGATTTGAATACTTTTTTAAGCATCCTGCCTTGTTTAGTTCAGGAACAAGGTAATTGCCGTTCAGATCATTAGCATTTAAAAGCCAGCACTAGGAGCTTGCCTGCTTTCATTCCTTCATGGTCGGCTCTGGCTCCCTTGATGAACTAACCTACTCACCATTCCCCACATCTTAGCGTGCACATTTGAAAATGTTCTTTGCTTGGGTCCAGTGGCCTTACAATACATCATGTTAAAAAGCTTTAACTTCTTAAGGAATATATCTTAGAATGGATCTTCAAACTGTAGTTTCAAACAAAAATGTTTGCGAGGGTACAGATTTGGTTGTGTCAGAAGTTCTCTATTAAAACATGACATCTTTTCCTCAGTCGAGCTGCATTTTTGGTCCTCGGTTGACTTGACTCTTGCAAATGGTCCAGTAGAATAAGGTTTGTGAATGACTTTGATACCAGCAAATAGTTGGAATCATCACTCTGAAAACGTGAAGATTATTGCAGAGTTCAAATTGCCTGGGGGGAAATTAGCATATGGTACATCATATCAAAATTGATATACAAAGGACCTTTCATCGTCATCGTAAAAAAATGACTAGATTTGGTGATGTACATTTTGCTGTACGGTTGTAGGGCCTTCTTTTTTGCCCGTGTCCAGCGCCCTGTGCCAATTTCCTGTCCTTCCTTTGTCCCCTGCTTCTCCAGTGGATGTGAAGTCGGAGGTTCCCGTGGGCCTGGAGCCCATCTCGCCCTTAGACCTAAGGACAGACCTCAGGATGATGATGCCCGCGGTGGACCCTGTCGTCCGCGAGAAGCAGCTGCAGCAGGAGCTGCTGCTCATTCAGCAGCAGCAGCAGATCCAGAAGCAGCTCCTGATCGCAGAGTTTCAGAAACAGCATGAGAACCTGACCCGGCAGCACCAGGCTCAGCTGCAGGAGCACATCAAGGTAGCAAATGCGTCCTCGCCCCTGCCCTTTGCGCTCGGGGAAGGGAGCCTGTGCCATGACGTGGGGGAAGAAGGAGCTCTGGGGCGGGTTCACTGTGGTTAACACACCAGGTGTGGCTTGGAGGAAATTTTGGGTGCACTGGGGGAAACCTTGGGGAAGTGCTGGGAATGCTGACTCTCAGCCTGCTTTGCTGCTTGGAGGGGCCTCTACCGCTCTTTCGTGCTTTAGTTACAGCAGCAAAAGTAGGGAATGGTAGCCTCCCACCCTTTAAGATTCTCTTCTGCATGATTTTGTTCATTTGCCCCATCAGTTTTCACCAAGAAGAACCATGAGCCTCAGAAGAATCATTTTATGTTTCTATAAAGAACCTGCTTGCATTATTTATCAGAAAGGATGCATTAGTCACTTATTGTTTTCCTTAATATTTCTTATGGAAAAGACCTCATAATGTATACATTCAAAATAACATAAAAAGTTCAAGAGAATTTTATGGAGAAACTGGTGCAAATATTTTCAATATGTTTATATGAGTCTAATAGACTATAGATGATAATTTATTGAAAGAATGTCAGGAGTAGTTGACAATTGCAGACTCAAGTTGTTTAAATTATTCTAGGAGGAAAAATAGGTCCATGTCCCAGGATTTTTTATGATGAGCTATTTTCTTGTCAGATCATTTTAGATGTCTATGTACCTATTTCTTCTCTTTTATCTTCAGAAATAAGTATTACGTTAGCTTTGCTTGTAAAATGTTTTTCAGCTTCTTGACAATGACATTTAAAACAAAGCTATTTTGGCCTGATCAAATAGATGCCTAATTTGAATTTATTATGACAGTGCTATAAAGCAGCAAATATTTATAATAAAAAATATTCATGTTATGTTCAGTTCCTTCAAAATGACTTAAATATGTTAATTTATTAATATAATAAATGACCTTATACTATGTTATATTGCAATATATTTTATTATAGATGCTTGATTACTTGCATATCAAATAATAGCACATTTATATGGGGTTAATATAGATAATTTATATAAATATTTACCATTTTACCACATTAATATTACATACAGTGTCTGAGAAGATAAAAATGGTGTCTTTTTCCCTATGTCCCTTGTTTTATGAGAGATTTCGTTAAACAAAAAGACTTATTTTTTTTTTTCCAAAATAACATTCTTCAACACCTAATATAAACCATAGTAAATTTTTCATTTACTAGTGAACTTTACTAAAAGAACTCTTGCAATTTATTGATCTGTAGGATACCTTAAGAACAGGAGTGAGCATTGTGTTTGGGGTCTCACATGGAATCAGTAGTTCATGGCTATATTTCGTAGTAATGGGAAACCTTCATTTCGTTTGTAGACTTAATTTTGAATGATTCTGAAGCATTATTATTTGACCTTTGAAACAATAATAGGAAAATTGATGTCTAGGTCTCCTTCATTCTAGGCAGGTTAAGATGGCAATGGTGATGAGTAAAATTTATATTTCCCACCATAGTTGAAGATTTAGGTAACCATATGGTTCATTGTGCTCTGGGAGGTGAGTCATGTTGCTCCAAGTACAGGGTGATACTGATAAGTCCCTGCCTTCTTCAGATACTTCTCTGCGTTCATGTCTGATGCCTTTTGTAATTGTAAAAATGAATATAAAATTTTAAAGTAATTTATTTTTTCATTTTACTCAAAAATTAATAGTAGCAAGTAGATAATGAACTGTTACTTTGGCCCAAGCAACATAACATGGTAGGTTTACTGACACCTGGAAAATACTGGAAAGAGGAGGCTCCTGAGAGAGACAAAAACAATTCAGAGATAGCTAAAAGGAAAATTTAACATTTAAAATGATTTTCCAAGGCAATGAGTAGTTTTCTCAAAAACTAAAGACATACTTAATTTTTGTGTGTTTAAGAAGTGTTTTGCCTTTCAAAATTTTTGTTGTTTTATATTTTTTATGGGAAGGCTGAAAGTTGATGCTGTTTAGCATTCATTTAGATTTTAATGAGGAAGACACTTCATGATGCTTTAGTTGTATTAGCGTTTTGAATCTTTGCCCTCCAGAATAAACATCTGTTGAGTTAGATGCTATTATCCCATGTTTTTACCTAGTAAGCTGAGGCAGAGAGAAATACTGTAAGTTGCCCAGGGCCACACAGACAGTGAGTGGTGGTTCCAGTATTTGTAGTCCTGCCTTGTCTGTCTCCAAAGCTCTTCCATATCGTGTGTGTCTCCTGGACCAAAACATCTGAAACTGGAGAGGTGACATTTGTTTTTGGGTTTTTTCAGCCCCATTCCTGCAGTCTTCAGTAATGAATGGTGGCTGTGAAAATTAAATTTTGAGCGTTTCTAGATTCCTAAGCTAGATTAAATTTCAGTTCCATCGGGATTTGGATGAAATACTGAGTTCATTTGACCAATCCTAATATCTGTACAGAATTAACATTTAAGGCAGAATTTAAGCAAAGTTATGCATTTTTCTGTTACAGTGGAATATCTAAAAGCACCCAATAAGGGACTGGTGTATCAAAGCCAAAACGCCCAAGATTTTATATGAAGAGTACCCTGCCCTTCTGGCAGGGGTGAGGCTATCGTGGTTCACACACGCAGTTGGCTTCTTGTTGCTCCAGAGCCATGCCAATGCCATCCCACAATGCCTTGCATTTTCATTCTGTTACCTTTGGGCATACATTTTACAGCTTTAGGTACCTATCTGATATAAACCACATTACACCGACTTCATTGGTATTGAGAGTTAAAAATAGTGATAATGATTGAAAGTAATATGGTTCAAACTTACAAACTAAATTTCACATACATTGTGGGCTGGATGTGTGGGGGCAGTTATTTCTCTAACATATGGGGAGCCAAGGCCCTGAGTAGTTCAGTAACTTGCTTACACCTCCTGTCTAGTCATGTCAGAATCTAAGGAGAACTCCCAGCCTTCAGTTATTCATCAGTGGGCACGTTTCCTATTATTCATAAGCATCCATCTCTCAATCTGAGAGAAAGCTGATATCTCACAACGGTGGTTAAGAATCCTTCATAGTCATGTTAGTCATTGTTTGGAATTTAAATCAAGGGATCCAGATAGCCAAACCACAGTGCCTCAAATTGCAATTTAGTGGAGGTGATTTTTTTTGACCCATCTCTCTAATCTGAATATTTTTGTGCGCTGGGTGAACAAGCTAGTCTTCTGCTCTTTTGAGAAAAGAGCCTGTTATGGGTAATGGATTGCATAAATCTATTGAGAACCTTCTCTGTAGAGTTTTGAAATTCTTAACATTTATTCTTTCAGGTAGACTTCCCCGAAATTAACTCATTTCTTATCATTCTATTCAGTTAATATTCACACCATTTCTTGGGATAGGAAATGAAGGTTTCAGTTGTTTATTTATAATGGGAGAGAAGCAGTAATATAGACTCCTGGGTAGTTCCTGCCTTTGCCCGTTTTATATATTTCAGATCACAAAGAAAAGTTACTCAGTTCACTAGAGATCTGAGTGAATTTGGTGATGATTTTTGACAGGGCGGAACAGGTAATGTAGCTCCCCCAAAACTACCTTATTGATGACATTAAGACCACCTATGGCATTAGAGGCTTCTCTTCAGATTTTGATAATTTATCCAAAAAGTGGGTAAAAATGTAAACTAAATACAAGCAGGTTCGGAAAGCTCATAGCATTTCTGTTTTGGTCAGTGATGACAATGAAGCTTAAAGAAATTGCACACTCTCACGTCTTTCTCTTCTCGTAAGTTGCAACAGGAACTTCTAGCCATAAAACAGCAGCAAGAACTCCTCGAAAAGGAGCAGAAGCTGGAGCAGCAGAGGCAGGAGCAAGAAGTGGAGAGGCACCGCAGAGAGCAGCAGCTCCCTCCTCTCCGAGGCAAAGAGAGGGGGCGCGAAAGTAAGAGGCCTCTCCCCTCGCCTTAGCTGGCGGCCACGCAGGCCTGCAGACAGGGGCCCGGGACAGCGTGGAAGTGACCTTGTCCACATGGTCTGCACTTAACTATAAGAATAAGTCACGGACCCAAGTGTAAAGCTCTGACCTCACCTCCCAGCTCTCTGCATTCAGTCTGCAAAGCATCCCAGGAAGTAAACACAGCATTGTTTGGCAAAGATACTCCTTTCTGTTGTTGTGTTTTTTTTAATTTCAAAAATAATGTCACAGTAAACCGGTCTAGCTCTGCCATACTGTTGAATAATAACCTTGCTCCAGCTCAAGGAATAACTGCTCTGTAAGACCAGCCTGGCCTCCATTTAGTTTTTGAGTAGCAAGAAGTTGGGAAGATTTAAGGCAGAACATTTGCCAAAATAAAAAACTATCCACAAGAGGGAGACAGAGCCAAATAATTCCCCTGTATGAGGTCAGTTCAAAACCTGGTTGTCACAAGGTTTAAAACTGGATGACTTGAACTGGAATTGTCAGCAGGAGTTATTTGTTTAATGCTCAAAAGAGGTTTTTAAGAAGTTCATTTTTCAAAATAGTGATCCGAAAAGGTCATTTGATGTGTTTAATCACTTATATGGTTCCCCAAGATTTTTGACTTTTAAAAGGCAGTGTTTTGTTTCCCAGCTTTTAAAAAAAAAAAAAAGCTTAGAAAAAATTACTATTAATTCTGGGTCTCCCCTTTCTGCAAAAGCAATTAAGGAAATCATCGAAGGTCTTTTGAAAATTGGCAGTTTAATCAGTAGTTACAAAACCTTACTATGCCATTTTCTAAAGCCCGTTTAGACTCTGGTTTCTTCTTTTAATAGGAAAACTTCATATGCTGTGACCAGTGCTGTTCCTTCTTAATTTTTGCTAAATATTTTAGAAGCACAAACGGATAAAGCTCTCAGTCAACATCTGTTTTTGTACGTGTGCGTTTCAGGGGCAGTGGCGAGTACAGAAGTAAAGCAGAAGCTTCAAGAATTCCTGTTGAGTAAATCAGCAACGAAAGACACTCCAACTAATGGAAAAAATCATTCCGTGAGCCGCCATCCCAAGCTCTGGTACACGTATGTTCAATGTTTGGCTGTTTTCATTACCAGGGGTAAAGAACACAGGGTGTGTACTCAGCCAGCCTGGGCACAGATCTGGGGCTTGCTGGTTCTCAGCTATGCGTCTCTGGGTAAAGTTATTTTAATTCTCTTAACATCCAGTTTCCCTCTCTGTAAAAAACAGCTTAATAATAGTCCCAGCCCTCTTGGCTGGCTGGGAGAGTCCTATGAAATAAAGTGGTAAAGTGGGTAAGAGAGGCCAGGGCTTAATAACTGTTGGCGGGCATCGTCTCAAGGGCCAGGAAGGATGTATGTTCTTTGCTCAGTGAGCAAGTGACAGCTGTGGGATGGGCATAGAAATAAATTCAGACTTTGCATGTTCCTATTTTCAGACGGTGCGTCTTATATCTTTACAATAATTTCTGAACATTTGACAGGTTGAGATTTCATTTTACTTGGCTTGATATAAGATGGAGAGCTGATCTATTTTTAAAAGTCCAGAAGATTTTTTTTGTTTGTTTAAAACAAGAAAAGGAAGAACAGAGAGGGAAGGGAAGGGTGGTAACTAAATGAATCTAAGTCTTCAGTGACTAGTTCACCCCTGCACATGTCACCTTATTTCTTCCCACCTGTGAAGTGAGAGTAGATTGGCTTCTGACACACAGCGGACAACGTAAGACACTGTGGTATTAGTGTTTTTATGGACATGCTTCCCCAAGTCCAGTTCTTTCTGCAGAACATAAGGAAGGAGGTGTTTTTAGCAATCAGGACGAAATTTATAGGCGAAGAATGTCTGGATAATAGACTAATAGATAATAGTTTCATTTCTCTCATTTTATAAATATCTTTGTTGAATGACCATGGGATTTTACATTTACATATTTTAATCCCTCACATCATAAGGATAAAGGAATAAGTATTTGATTACTCTGCTATAATGAAATTGTAAGCATCCCAGGAGTTCTATTTAAAGTATTATTATACATAAATTCTATTTTATAAGTGTCTGCCCTTCTCTGCATCCAACAAAAGGTAACTGAGGCAAATTCCAAAATGCAGTATAAATACTTTATAATGGTTTTCACAATATCTGTCATGCATGTCCGTTCACTTGAGCAACCAATCCTAAAAGAAAATTTTCAAATGTTCAATCGACATCACAGTCTCTTTTAAAAAGAAATACAGTATTAATGCCTAAAATTACAAACATAATTTATAACTAATTCATATATGCTTTCTAAGTTAAATTCTGTTTTAAGACGTGATGCTTTTTAAAAAAAATCTTCACCCAAGGATATGTTTATTGATTTTGGAGAGAGAGGAAGGGCAAGAGAGAGAAACATCGAAGAAAGAAAGAAACATCTGTCAGTTGCCTCCCTTACACACCCCAACCCAGGATCGAACCCACAACCTAGGTAAGTGCCCTGACTGGGAATTGAATCCGTGACCCTTTCGGTGTCCAGGATGACGCTCCAACCAACATGAGCCACCCAGCCGGGCAGAAGAGATACTTTTTTTTTTTTAAATGGGAGACGACTACATGTAAACAACTTGTCAGCTGAAAATTTTTTAGCAGTTCCATTGGGTTTATTCATCATGACTCTCAAATGTTACTTAGCAATCCTTTTTGTACTGAGTTGAACTTCAGCAGGGCCTGACTCCAAACAACCATAAATCATTAAATTATGGAATCTGAATTTAACGCTTTTTTGCCAGATGAAATATCTTTAAACCGGTTCAGTTCTTGAGAATGTGATTCAGAAGAATGCTGGTAGAATAGCCACCTTGTTGGTGACACCATGCCCTGCCCATTGTTTCCTTCAGATGTAATCATTGGAGATGTTTATATCCACTGGCTAGTTTACGTTCAGTCCTGTAAACTATCCTCCAGTCCCACAATTGCATCTCCTTTGCTGTATTTATGCAGAAAAGAGAAAACATTTTGAGAAATCAGTTTTATATTGAAAAAGGAAGGGACCCCCGGTCTTCACCTTGGACTGCTATAAGTCAGGGGACCGAGGCTGATGGCACAGTACTGTCTTTCCAGTAGAAAAGTTTTTCGTGTCCTCACTAGCAATTTTTAAAAAGGAAGTGCTTCTATGTGTTTACTTTACCTTGGTGGTTCTACATTGTTAACTGAAAAGGGCTCGGATGATGACTCTTTCACTAGTATGGCTCTTAAGAAAACAGACACAGTAATCTCAGATGATCACGACTCAGGCTCTTAGTAAATGTCTCTCTTTCAGTAAAACAAACTTTTCCGTGTGACCGTGTGACCAGACACACAGTGGGCATTCTCGGGAATCCTGAAGCATTGCATAGCACGCTGCTATCGTGAACTCGGATACGTGAGGCTGTGGTTTGTACATACCAAAAAGAAAGAACATAAACACAGCTGAGACACGTGTAGGGCATGTGCAACTGATTATTGCTGACCAACATGCAGGAAAAACTGCAGCGCAAATGGTGCAGCCTCTTTTTCCCTTGCAGGGCTGCCCACCATACGTCATTGGATCAAAGCTCTCCACCCCTGAGTGGGACATCTCCCTCCTACAAATACACATTACCAGGAGCGCAAGATGCGAAGGATGACTTCCCCCTCCGGAAAACTGGTAAGTAGGCCTGCTCTTCCAGAACGGGCCTGCACCTTGACTGCCTCTGAAAGAAAGTCAAAGGATTTGAATCAGAGCTGTTAGGCCCTCTGCACCCCCTGGCCTCAGCATTAACAAGTATGTGTGTGGCCGGGGCGAGTGCACACACACACGCGCACACACACACACATACACACACCTATTTTTATTTCAGTGGATTCAATATGTAATCAAAGTACCTTCTCTAATTTAAAAGTTGGTCATATTTGGATTTTAGTGAGATCTTACTAGCAATGAACGGTAGAATTAAGGAACATAGAAAGNGCACACACACGCACACACACACATACACACACCTATTTTTATTTCAGTGGATTCAATATGTAATCAAAGTACCTTCTCTAATTTAAAAGTTGGTCATATTTGGATTTTAGTGAGATCTTACTAGCAATGAACGGTAGAATTAAGGAACATAGAAAGTTGATTTCTCAGAAAATTTTGATCTTTCCCATTAATGAGGACCTCTATAACTTTCACCATTTATCTGATTTTCTCTTGAGCCTCAGTCATTTACCACAACTATAGAAATGATAAGTTTTCCTTTTTAAAGAAAAAGTTTAAGTGGTCAAAAACAGATAAGGCCAAAGCTACCTTCTGAGTAAGTGACTTGCCTAATGTCTCACAGATCCCAGGGGAACTCGGAGTGAAGTTTTGTACCTAATAATCTCATGCAATGATATTAAAATTTGCTTAGGGGAGCGGGGACAATGAAGCTTCTATTTGGAATTTAGTGAGCAGCCCTGCTGCTCTAAGGCCTGGGCATGTTTTCACATCTCCTATTTTTAGCCCTCTGATACGTGCATATTTAATGTGTTATAGGCTCTTACCTCTATAGTAAATCTATTTTAAAACTTAGCAAGATATAAGCATAAGTAGCATGCATGTACATTTTGTTCTAACTCTTATGATTTCTTCCAACTATGGCTCTTTACAGAAAGTTGTAAATTTCAGAACTTTAATATCCACAGTTGAACTGAGTAGGTATTCAGAGAAGATAATTTGGTCCATCATATTTTACTCAGGCCAACTTGAAGAAGTATAGATGGATGTAATTTTTGTATGAAAGCCACCGAGAGAAAATTATTTTAAATAATTATATTTCTTTACCCAAGTAATTTTGAATAATTAAAATGGATATACATTGTTTAAAAAAACACATGCTGAAGATATTTCCTCTCATATAATTTCCCTGAAGCCTAATGAAGATTGCAAAATAAAATCAATCATGGGTAAGAATTTATTATGTAATATTTATTGTACCAGATACTGGGGAAAGATGGTCCATGTTGCAAAGCAATCCATGTCTTTTTCTTTTAATATCCCAAAGATTTTTGCATTTCTACTATAAAATAAAAGCTATAGTGAAACACTTCACGATAGGGAAAGGGAAAAATGAGTTTTATATGTTGCATCAGAATTTCACCCTGTTATCTATAAATCAGATTATCTTTTATATAAATAAACATCTCAGGGATAAAGGAAAGAAAGCATAGAGTGAGCCTCCATGTATTTCTAAAACACGGAGTACAGTTTATGAAAATTGATCCATAAAGGGACATGAGTTTTAGAATGTGTGGTCTTTGATCTGCAGCCTTGACATTTAGTTGCACCAATGGCATGCATAGGAACTATTGACAGAGATTATGTGAATATTGCCCCAGGTCTCGGGCAGTGACTGGCATTCAAGGGCCCATGGAGTCACTAAAAGGAAAGAAAACACAAGTCCCCTGATGGCAGGAGGTTACTGATGAGTGATATAGTTACATTCACAGAGAAAGACTTCTACCCTGCTGTGCACACAGCCTTTGAATGTATTCTTACCACTGGGAGATTGAAAACTGACTGCAGAAGAAGTGGCCTTTAGAACAGTAAGCATCCAAAAAGAAAATCTGATTTTTTTAAAATACTATAGACAAGTACTAAAAGCCCATACTTTGTGTCCCACTGTTTCCATGAGAACAGTTTAGGATTTTTCCTCTGAGAAGAATGAATAGCAAGCTGTTAATTTATTTTTTTAGAAATTCTCATCCTCAACAAAATTCAAAGAGAAATCCTGCTCAGAATATATGTTATAGAATTGTATTGAAAACTTTACTAATATGAAAGACATTTTCTGTGTCTATTTGCCCAGTATTTTAAATTTCCTTTTATATTGAAAATCTGATACTTGTGAAGTATCAGGCTGTTGATCTGTAAAACCAAACATTTTCTAGCATTGTACCCATAAAGTTCTTGAACAACCATTAATACTTTTATCTCTGCAGGGGCTTCAAAATATTCCTTAATGAAATTACCATTGTCTAAGAAAAGTATGATATAATTAAATACAGACGTTTTCCATACATTATCTAAAATGCTTACAGGTACCCCTCATTATTACAAATAGGCAGAACTCTTCCAACTTTTATAATTATAATCCATTTCCTGTATTTCCAATCCACTATGAGAAAGTTTAGACATATATTTGTACTAAATAGAAAAGCGTCGAAGTACAGTCAAATAATAATTTAATTCAGCATTTGTATTTTAGTGACTCAAGTTATTACAAAAGAAATTAAACAATAAAAAATGACCATGATTAAACATATGTGATGATTGGGGAGACTGTGTAATTTTTGCAGAAAGTTACCTCAGTATTAAATGAAATTTAGAGTAGTGGTGTTGATCATAGAGTGTAAATACCAGGACAGTCATAATAGAGTCAAACTTTTCTCTTGGGGCCTGGTTATCATTCTCTGTGGTCTACTTGAATTTCATTGAACTGAATCTTAGATTTAAAGGAAGTTGTTAAATAGTGGATGTTCTATCTTTTGATATGCATATAATACTAAATTCTTTCAATTTCTTTTTAACCTACATTGGTATGGAATTGCCAATGTGTATTAGCAAGATTTAAGAGAGTAAAGCTGGAGCCAGAGTAAGAAAATCTTAATGACCTTAAAAAGTGGCCCCAAGGGTGTCCCTTAAGCAGTGAATACAATTTGGAACCTCTCTTGACCTCTTGGGCCCCAGCCAGACAGTGACAACCTAGGAACAGTCAACCATGGAAGTCTCATTTGCCTGCAGAAATCTGACCTTGTCATGCAAAGCAGACCTTCACTTCCTTCCCCTAGGAGAATCACAGTTGCTCATACAATTTGAGCATGTTGGAAACATCAGAATAATACGAATAGTTGGCTTTAATCAGGCCCATTTCTAAACCACTTTTCTCTTAAATGTAGGAATGGAGAGTCTTTTGCTCCTTTCACAACAATGAGCATCAAAGACTTTTATAATTGCTTGTGAAGTTGAAATAAAATAATTGTTTTTAATTATTTCTATCTATTGCCCTTACCTCAAGTAGCACATCCTTTTAGAATTACACTCTGTGATTCCTTTCATTCTATAACACCAAGATTTGGTGATACTGAAATTTGGAATATTTTACCGAACTTTATAATTTGGCTGCAAACTATATCATTCTGTAGTAGGTGATTTTCCCCCCCTAATACAGTCTACTGCTGGACAGATAAGAAACCATAAAATGGGAAAGAAAGCTTCTGGGTCCAACACTTTTTGAAGTAGCACATATTTCTAACAAAGATAGCGCATATGTGCTGACTTTGAACTGACCTTCAAAACCATTGGACTTGGATTCTGTTCCAGCAAGTGTACGCATATGTTTCATAAAACATTATTGTTAAAAGTTCTAGAGGTTTTATGCTCCATTATATTATTGGGGTCTTACCCAGTGAACTTTGGCTTTCTTTGAATATTACAGTCTTTCCATTTAATGCTTCTGAACAAAGTGAGCTGGCTGGCAAGATTAACCTCTTAAAGCGCACAAGCCATATAAAGCTTGGCTTGGGCTAATAGGACTGTTCCAGCCCCACTGGAAAGATTCATTTTAATGGTCAGCAGCACTAGAGTAAGACTCAAAGATGGAAGGGGTCCAAACATAAGTGAAGGCTTCGGAAGGCCAATGCCGTTTTCCACATTGAGTAAATTGGAAAGAAGGCGGAGATGAAATACATACCCCTCAGTATAGCAGTTAGAATTTATGTTGTGGTACTTTGGTAACCTGTTCAAATTATTATAATCCAGAATAAATACCAAGGAGATTTTTTTTAAATGTTTTAAAATCTTTCTGTCGTCGTCTTCTCTCTCTGGTTCTGTGTCCCTCTCGTAATACAGATGTGTATGTGCACATCTGGACAGGCACGCACATTTCTGCACAGACAGCACTAGATAGCATGTCTGCTTATAAAAATATTCACTCCTAATCTTATTCCAGATTGACAAAAACTGGAGCATTTGTATATCTTAGGACTCTCATTGCCATTGTTGTGGTGATGCTTGCCTCACGTTGGCAAGAATTATTGAAATATACTCTTGTTGATGATTTTTTTTTAATCCTTACCTGAGGATATTTTTTCCATTGCTCTTCCATTGAGAGTGGAAGGGAGAAAGAGAGAGAGAGAGGGAGAGAGAGAGAAACATCGATGTGAGAGAGACATGTCGATTGGTTGCCTCCCATAGGAACCTTGACTGTGGCCGGCATCAAGCCTGCAACCGAGGTATCTGCCCTTGGCCAGAATTGAACCCAGGACCCTTCGGGCCGAGGGCCGATGCTCTAACCACTGAGCAAAATTGGCTAGGGCTCTTGGTGTTAAATTTACACCTGTTTTCCCAGAATTGAGAAGCAGCGTGGCTCAGTAACACAGGCTTTGAATCCATCTGCGTTTGAAACCTGGATCCTCAATCTTGGGAAATACACTTGACCTCCTTAGGCCACATTCTCATCTGTAAACAGGGAATAATTGTTACACTTGGTTCACAAGGTTATTTTGAGAATTCAGTTGAGTAATGCAAGGAATGTGCTTCGGATCACACCTAGAACTTAGGGAGCACTTCATCTTAATTTTCCCCTTCAGTTTGATAAGGAATTGAGTTTCATTTATTTTCACCAGGTTAACACTAAA